TAGGAGCAACCAGGCCATCAGGGAGGGAGCAGTTGGAGGCAACCTGGCTGGCAACTGGGGGCAGTTAGGGGCAATCAGGCCAGCACGCAGAGGCAGTGAGGAGCGATCAGGCCAGCGGGGGGTAGGGGGGGCGCAGTTAGGGGTGACCAGGCAGGCAGGCAGGTGAGCGATTAGGAGCCAGCAGTCCAGGATTGTGAGAGGGATGTCTGACTACCGGTTTAGGCCCGATCCCGGGGATCGGGCCTAAACAGGCAGTCGGACATCCCCCGAGGGGTCCCAGATTGGAGAGGGTGCAGGCTGGGCTGAGGGGACCCCCCACCACCACCATGCATGAATTTTGTGCACCAGGCCTCTAGAATTTAATAATTACATGATCAAGATGAAATCGCACTATTCAATTCAAAAAAAAGTTATGAAGGACCACGGATGTCATCTTTCACATAAAAATAAACAAACAAAACAGATTTTATAAATACTTTAAGAAAAAATTCCATTATAATATGTAAAAGTTTGATCATTTTTCAAACTATTCTTGCCTTTTCTATAAAAGAAGATGTCCACTGGGCCACACATTTCTACACATGAAGTACAGGTGGCAGGAGTGGGCAAAGTACAGCAGGCCAGCTGCCTGTTTATAAAGTTTTACTTATTGTCTAACTTACTGCTTTCAGACACAATGGCAGAGTAGAGCAGTGAACAGAAACTCTATGTCTCATAAAACCAAAAATATTTACTATTTCGCCCTCTAGAGAAAAAAAGTACAGACCTCCATAGGATATTAACTAGCATAATACAAATTCAGAATTAATAATTTGCATAGAGAATATAGGCTTCTGCCCATTAAAATACTTCTTCAAAGAGTACAATTGAAGTAAATAGTATATAAACAATTTAGTAGCAGTAATATTCAGTAGTATGAATTTAATGTGAATGAACTTTTTAAGGTACTTTCATATAGAGGGTAAGGCAAAAGTAGGTATACAGTTGTGAGTACATGACACATAGTGTATTATTATTAATTATTCTATTATTTTCCATACAAACAACTGTAAACCTATTTTTGCCCTGCCCTCTATTTTAAAAGCATCCAGTTCAGAATAAATAAATGACAATATCATAATTGTTTTGGTCCTCTAGAAACCTCTAGCATACTGGTCTAGCTCTGAGGTACTGTTACACAAATGTAAAATTTTAAAAGTTGGTATTTTCAAAAATATTATACTATTTATTTATTTTTGCCATGTATAAATTTGTGAAAATTAGATTTTTATGGTGAATAGAACAAAAATGTAAAAAATAAAACTATAAACTAAAATCTAAAAATGTTATGCACAACCCATCATATTCACTTCATTTTTAAAAACTATACAAAAAAATGAATTTCCCGTATCTGATTTCACTTTGAAATAAAATAAATCTCTATACACCTTCTCCACAAAATGCTTCACCTTTCAGAAGTCACTGTTTAAGGTGAAAAATAGTAAAATGAATGTCTGTATACTCTTTACCTGGACTCACCAATTGTTAATTTATGCCATATTTGTTTTATGTATATTTTTGTTTAATCATGGTATTAACTTCTTAAAAATATCTCATCATTCACCTTTTTTAATAAGGATATTTTCCTATTATATACATGCAACAGTATTATCACACTCAATAAATATGCCATAGTATCACTAATAGCCATTTTCCTCAAATATCCTAAAAATGACTTATAAAACTTTTTTTAAAATATAGCATCCAATCAAGGTTGCCATACACGACCAATTTCTGAAAATTAAGAGCCAAACTTTTCTCTAGACAACCTTTTTGTATATACTATGTTCTCTCTTCTTTCCACAACTTGTGCTCTGAAAAAGCTGTAGGAACACAATTTCCCCAGTAGTTTCCTGCCAGACCACTCAGCAATGGAAGGGTACTGCAATAATAGTAGAGAGAAAACTGAATTTCCAATTATCTCCATAGATTCTGTTTTCCCTATAAGAATATCTACAATTAAACTGTAATCTTATCTTAGCTGCTTACAATATTTTATAAATACATAACTAACCAACATGCATTGATCATCAAGTGAAAAGTCTTATAACTAATTACCTGCCAGGGCTCAAGAAGTTAAGCTTCTTAAGCTTAAGCTTCTTATCACTAATAACTTAAGAATCATAAATAATTATACAAATGTATTTTATAAAAGGAAACATTTTATAGAAGTCCAAAGAGAGATCTTGACTAAACAAGCCAGTTTTAGAAGACTAAACATACTTTTTTTAAACATACAATTTTACAGTTCACTAAGTTGAATAAAGTTTTAATCATCCCATAAAAAGACTAGATGGCTTGCATTTTATGATTATGCATTAAGAAATTGACTTCTCTGGCCATTTGTTTCGATGTTTCAAGCTTTTACTAATGTGTAAAACTTACATTTTGAACAATACGTTATTGTATCAATATTATAAAAGCTATACTTCTGAATAACAAAAACCATAAATTTTTTACTATTAATGTAATTGAAGTAATATGAATATTTTAACATTCTCTCCTAACTTATTTGATCTAAAAGTTCAAATTGGAGCAATTTTTGACTACTAAACTATCTTGAAAATTGAGATTTCCAAAGGGAATACTGTCAAATTTATAAAAGCAAAAAGACCAGTATTCTAGTGATTCATTTTCAATATATTTTCTATATTGTTAATTATGTCTGAATTCAAGAGTATTTTCCAGTGTAAATTATACACAAGGCTTAACAAATAGAGACTAAATGTGCAATCGCCTTTACTAAGACCAATGAAAAATCTATACACAGCAATGAAATTGGCATGCAAATAAAAGAACTGTCAAGACATGTAACCCTAAAAATAAGCCTACAATAACTATTTTAAAGGCTGTGTGTGGTCTCACCCATATATTTTGGCAAGATGCACTCTCTCCAACCACAGCTAGATTCATCCAAAAGCAGTGGCACTGGAGAGCCTCTGTCTCACCTGTCAAAGTTGAAGAACGTTGTTCCAAAGACCACCATGAGTCCATGGAGAAAAGCCACAGTGCCACAGCTGGTATTGATAAGCAGTCTCTGAAGGAGAAACTACTTCAAACAATTAAGCAAATCATCCTTAATAGAGATATAGACAGAGAGATAATATATTAATCTTTAAATAATGAGATGACAATTACCATGCCAGATCTGACACAGTGGTAATTTATACGCCGGAATACTAAGAGGGGATCTTTCACAACTAACACTAATTTAATAGTCTTTTCTATTTTTCCTCTGATAAAATTTCTATACATTTATCAATCCAAAACTCCGCTATGTTCCCTTTTTAAATTTTAAACACCTCCCTTTAAAGCCGCATAATTCATCTAAATTACTAAGGTACTAAATTCATCAAAATTGCTGTAGTCTGACAGCTAAGAGCACAGAAGATTAAGATTTATAAACAGAAACCCTAAGTATATTAAAATCTGACCTTTTCAGAAGATACCATAATATCTTTTTCAACCACATTATAAAAGCAGTTTACATTTTGCTTTAGGCTAACCCTCTTTAGAGTAAAGCATATGGGTTGATCAGGTAAGCTATAGGTAGGTTAACATAAATAAAAAGACCAAGAAAAACAATTAGTCTGAAAAGAAATATGCTTCAGTGGACAATTCAAGCCCCACCTCAAACCTGGTAATAAAAGACAACATAAAACAAAATGGAAAGAAATATACCTGGGCTAGATAAAACATTTAAATAATCATGAATGTCTCATTAATTTAACTTATTTTACCTACCAAATGACAATGTCCTCTAACTATATTTAATACTGCAACAATTCAATTAAAAAAGAAAGGGGGTGCCATTTTGTGTCTTTCCCAGGAAAGTTAATATCCAAACGGTTGTCATTATAGACAGTTTTCCTACAACCAAGTCCCACAGCACAAAGTTACCACAGAGCTCCAATGTACTATGATGCCCCGGTTTCATTTACTATATTCTCTAAATACAAAGTTCCAAAAAGATTAGTTTCATTTTTCCCTAGATAGATTTAGTATGTTAACTAGCATAGTTGGGATATTATTTTTCTTTGGTTTTGTCAGTAGCATGTTTGATATAAATTTTATTAAGTGGTAGTATATGTAACATTGCATTGTGGGTAGTAGTTTCCTGCTTTAGCCTAGCCACATCCTCAGCTGTCATATGAGCATGTTTCCCATATTTTCTACAAGTTCTCGCCTTTTTTTTTCTTCTTAGAAAAATGACAGCATTAGAAGATGAATTGTTCTAATAATTATAAGAAACATGAGTTATTTATACAGCTACATTACACAAGTATGGATCACTCTGCACTTTGAAGAACAGTCAAAGGTGGAAAAACAAATCCTCATAATTAAAGTCCAATGTCATGTGAAACAATATGTTAAAGTAAATTAACATAGAGGAAGGAATTAAAAACTGTTAAAAAGGAAGAAAATCACTGTAATCAGATGCCAATACCATCTAACAAATGAGGTGTACATATAACAGTGTAGACATAACTATGATTCGCCTTGAAATCTTAGGTGCCTCAAACCTGCCAGGTATTCATTAGTGAGAATTAATGTCAATATCTACTACTAGAACCTTAAGAATCTACTTTGAGACACTATAGAATTATCAAAACAGTGATAAAGAAACTGAAAAAGCCTGGAGGAGAGAGGGAGGAAAAGAGGGAAGAAAAAAAGGGGAAAAGAGAGGGGGAGTACGAGGGAGATAGAAAAGTTTAGTATTTTCTCTTTTGGCATTTCATTTCCACATAATCTCACATTTAGATAGATAGCTGCTAATACTAACCAAATGAACTTGTTCAAACAATCATGGACATGGTGGTGCTTTGGGTTTTTACATAATTTAATTAAAACAAATTGAGGAGGAAAAAGAATACTCATTACAAAAAGTAACACAAAATAATACCCTGAACACATGACCACAGAAATATGCATGCAGTTGTGTACACAGACATAACACCCCATTAAAATAAGAAAGTAAAATTAATATCTCATAATCATCATAATTTAAAATACTAATAATGTATTTAACTAATATAAAAACTTTTCAAATCCTCAATATAAGGCCCAATAAATGCTATATCAGTTTAAATAGATATACATCAAATCCAAAAAAAAGTCAAAAAATAAATTATCATATACCAAGCTAAAACAATAAATTAAGAAAGTGTCTTCCTAAAAACTTCATTATCAGTGAGAAAAATTTAAGCCAAATTAGAATGTCTACAATTAATAAAAAACCTACATCAAATCACTTGGCCTTGTTGTTTTCAATTAAGAGAAAAATAGAACAGCACCAAATAGAAGTTAAAACAATAAAAAAAAACACACACATAGAAATAAGCACAATATTGACACTGATAAAACTACTGAATCTAAATAGGATCATTAGTTCAGAAAATAAAAAAAATAATTCAAAGGTAACAATGAATATATGTAACATTTAAAAAACTATTATACTGTTATATAGTCTAACAGCATACAATATAAAAAGTTTGACCAATGTTGACAAATTTAGTAAATACAAGGTAATGGGGGGAGCAAGATAACTAATGTCTTTACTTATTGAAATTGATTTCAAGTTCAAAGGAGTATTTCACATCTATGGCAATAAAGTACATAATTTATACAACAGACCTAAATTTGTTACTTACATCAACATAGAAAATACTAACATAATCCCCAAAAATGAAGTTTTGAGGGTCTTTGAAAAACAACAACCAAAAAACTCTGTGGTTTCCATTTTTCATTTTAAGCATCGTATAAATCCATAATCAAGAGCTTTATTTGCAGTGACTTTTCTGAGTCAATCTCTCTTTTTTACATGTGGTAAGTTACTTCTAATTAAACAAACTCTCAATTATCACATATGTACCTTGATCACTTGTTTTTTAATTTTTATCACAAAGTAATATTTGCTCCAAAGTGGATATATTTTCAATTTAGAAAAAGAATGTGTGGATAATGAATATACAGTCTTTAATGACTTCACTGTCTTTCTTCCGCCAGAATTTGACGGGCCTCACACAAAACATAAAAGTCATATTTAACAATATCTACTAAACTCTTACATAACATGAGTGATTATCCTGACCCAAAAATTATGTGCAGGAGGGCTACCTGCAAAAAGAGAAAAAATGGGTAATAGATACATAGATGTTGAAAATTATTCAAATGCTTACAAAGTTAGGTTAGAGGGCCAATGTGCACATATTTTTTTAAAAACATTAAAGGGAGAAAATATTTAGCTAATAGTTGGGGTTGTAAGATGTCAGAGAATCCTCACACAGACACTAAAAAAGCATTTATTTACCATACTACAGCGGCTACCTAAATTTTTTCAACTGCCCGATTCTGCTGCTATTGTAAGTGCATATGGAACTACGTTTGGAAATTCCACAAATTATATAAACAAAGACCTCCTTTAGATATAGATCATACCAGTACACCATAGTCATTTAAAACTGTAACTAAATAACTTTTCTCTTTTGTATGAATGATTACATTAAATGAAAGCTTTTACTTTTCAATGTAAAATGTTTACATACACAATGAGGCATAAATACATATTTGAAATAAAACACTAAAGTGCATGTTTAGTGCTTTATCACTAAAAGTTTGTTATGGGAAAGTTCTGGACATGTGAATAATAAAGGATTAAAATCATTCCCATGTCTTCTTGGTGCATTTTGGGCAAATCAAATATTTTGTGAAGAAACTTATGAACATGTCTGCACATTTATCTTTATCTAATATAAACCAAAAGCAGATAATGAACTGTGCTGGAAGTCCATAGGCAAGGATATTTTGGCTCTAACACCTTCCTTAGTGTTTCCCAGCCCTTACCCCATTATCTACCCTAAATAATGTTTTGTAATTCACTGTCTCCGCCCACCCTCCTAGTCATTTACTCTATGCCACTCCTAGTTACTATCACACTAGGAAGAAGTCTAACATGCAAATTCAGAGTGGCTGATAAATGGGAAAAAATGCCTAGAAGATTGGTCTGTTCAGCTTTATAATTTTTGTTGAAAAATACCCCATCGCTCCCAACTGATGAAAACAGGAAGCTCTATTCATAAATATGAAATTCTCTGCCTATGATATATAATCATCCTAATAAGAAAATGAGTTCTATACATACATGTCCAAAGGGGTAAAAAAGGAGATAGTTTCCCAAAGATGTTTCCAATTTTCTTCTGAATCAGAATTAGCAAATCGAGACGACTAACATACTCTGTCTGTGTGCATTATTTCTTGCTACACACAGCATTTTGCAATTTATTTCAAAGCTTTCATTATAAACAAAAAAATACAGCTTCTGTTAACCCACTCTATTCTGAGTTTATAAAACCTAATATTGAACAATCTAAATTACGACATAAGAATTTTACTTTATACATGTATAAGATTTGCTAGCAAAGCCTCTGTTGTTAAAGTTAAAATCCAAATAAACCAAAGAATTATGCAAAATGAATACAATTCCTTGAAAAATAAAAATCATTACAAGCATAAAGAAAACTAAAATTCAGCCAATAATCTGTTACAATTCTTATCATTGATTTTTATAAATCCTTAAACTAGTCATAAAAGAAAGGTATAAATAATATAAACGATACTAATTACATTTAATCCATACTGTAGGAGCCGGCATCTAATATTGATCATACATAAACTAGACAGACATGATTTAACATTTGTAAAAGGAATCCCCAGACTAACACTTTCATGACAGCCAATTACAGTCAAGCCCAGCAAGCAGTTTGCAACCAGACCTTAAGAAAGGTAAACTTTTTTACAATGAGTTACAGATTCACAAGTTTAAGAAGACAGGAAAAAGAAAAACAGAAGGACTCCAATCACCCAGCAAATATGAAGCAGACCCCAGAATGTGATACAATCCAAAGATGTAAATTATTGTAAATCATCACTGTTGTTCAGAATTTCACACAGCCTCTTGAGCCAATTTTGCTCACTTTTCCACAGACACAATAATGAACTAAATAAAAGGAGGAGGCAAAAAAAAAAAAAGTGGGGGTGGGGGGAATAGAAAGGAAAGCCCTTAACTGCAGAGTTCTGCTCTACAAATGCTTAACCTTACAGGAGTTTGAGCTCCTTCAGCATTTGTATTCTATCCAAATCCTCATGAGTCACAAAAATTAAATAGCTATATCCTTCTGGATGCCAGGAAGGGCCTTACCACAAGCCTTTTGTCAGAGAGAGAGAGAGAAAGAGAGAGCAAGAGCAAGGGGGGAAAAAAGCCACAGTGGTAGGCAGTCCCACTTCACTTTGAGCACTGTGAGGTCACAAACCACATGATTCTGTCTCTCCAGTAATAGTGCTTGCAAAAAAAAGGAGTTTTAAAGCTTTTGCTTTTTTGGATTGTGTGAATGCTTCATTCGCCTCACAAACAACCACAGAACCACAAGTGCGGTGCAAACTTTCTCCAGGAGGACAGCAAGAAGTCTCTGGTTTTTAAATGGTTAATCTCCGCAGGTCACTACCAGCCACCGAGACCAACAGAGTCAGTGAGTGCTCTCTAACCACAGTCTATGCAGTAATAGTAGGTCCTTCAAATATTTGCTCATTCTCTTTTTGTTTTGTTTCCTTGCTTTTCACATGTTACCAGCTACATAATTTCTTGACAGAAAAAAATATAAATATAAAGTCTATGTACTCCAGGCATACTGCAAAACTAAAACAAGGTTTGGGTATGGTTTGTATTTTCAGTTTAAGGCTGCAAGCAGAATTTACAACAGAGGGTACAAGTTCTATCTGAAAAAAAAAGGAGGGACTATGGCATCAAACAGCCTCTTCAGCACAGTGACACCATGTCAGCAAAACTTCTTTTGGGGTAAGTGTTACCATATTTTAAAATCCTATAAGAGATGAACCTGTTAAACATAAAGGTATGTTTCTTGGATAAAGTAACTGCTAGCTTTCCGGATGACATTATATTAATGAAAATAATAATAATGCTATTTTGTTGCACTAAAACTTGAAAAATGAAATTGCTGTACATATTTGCATTTGGCATCTGTAACTTATCTACTTCTCAGAGTAATGACCTGAAATAGAAAAAAATTAAATTATCTCATATGAGTCAAAATGTTTTTCAGAAGTATAGAAATGAGGTAGTTAAAACAATAAAAAGGTTTAATATTCTCATTATCCCTTACTGAAATAAAATTAGATACTAAATTAATCAAAGTATTATGAAGTATTCACTCCGGCAGCTCCCAATATTTGAGCAAACTTCAAAAAGGAAGTAATTTTACAAAATAACAGACCGCAGAATTATCTCAACATTATGCTCTCCCATGTAAAACAGAGAAATAAACCTGCAGTGCAGCTAACATTTTAACTAGTCCGACTACAAAAAATCTATTTATAATTTGAAACTGCATCATATCATAAGCTATCTGTATAACTTTGTTTCTAAGCAACTTTTTATAATTGAAGCATATGTTCATCTGAAATAAAATTATATTAAGTATGTAATAGCCATTTTTAATAGATCTTTATAGTTAAGCAGGATATCCAGGATATTTAAAAGTTTACAGAAATCTTTAAAAATTCCATGTAATTGTGCTTTTCCATATAATTTTAACTTCACATCTACACACTATTACCCATGTGTAGAACCTGTTATAAAAACAGAGCAAACATTGAGACGACTAGGATTCTTTTAATCATATTCTTGGACCTACCAAAATGAATACCGTTTAGTTTCATGAAAAATAAAACTCTGTAAGGATACCCTGCATGATTTAAAAGAGCTATACCTACTAAATCATGCTGGACTTTTAAAGAAAAACAGCCATAATATAGTCCCTTAATATTTAATTTCAAATTAATGTTGATACACAAAAATAAACTACTTCAACATTCATCTGCTGACATGGTATTATAGCAAAATATCTAAACACTTACAAGATTTTCTTTATGATGTCCAACATGTTCCAACTACAGGGCAAGTTTATAAAGTTTTCTTTTATCCTTTAAAATAAATCTTTTGCTGTGTATACCTATATTAACTTTGCTTTATAACTTACAACTAACGATTGGAGTTTCCTTTACTCCTCCTACTTCACACATTTTAACTGGCTATCAGAGGATCAGTCTTAGTTTAGGTCAAAGAGAAATAAACCTGCAGGGGAGAAAAAGGTTTCTCTTAAAAGGGTGAGGAAATGTACTTTGTATTTTACCAACAAAATGTAAAACTGCTGTAGTGATTCCTTCAATAGTTGTAGTGGGTGCCCTCAGTTATAACACATACAATATAATAATCACAGATTTTTTTTTTAATTTAATGGTAGTCAACAAGAGTTACTCTAAATTTTTCTGCATTAAGGAAGCAGAACATAGAATTAGACTGCATTATACATCATATCATAATTATAGCTTATAAGTGAGAACTTTTGCTGTTTCTATCCAAAAGATGAGAAAAAAAATGGCTAAAACTATTGTTATATGGAGGGATAACTTAAAACAGGCATCGCAAGCAGTTAAGTTACTCTTTCACAATATTACTCTGTTTAAAAATAAAATATATTTTTCTAACCAGATTGGGAACAACACAAGTTTCAAGGATTATTTCATCATTACAACTCAAGTTATTGATATTATCACAAAGAATATGTTAAAATGCTCTTTATTCCTATCATATGAGTGGTCTTATATTTCTGTGACACCCTTAATAACTATTTCTATAGTAAAATTTCTAAAACTTCACCATCTTCTAACACAACAAGGCACCATAGTGAACTAAATAAAGATCTTCTTCTATCAAATATCATATATTTTTAGACAACATAACAATTATTTTCTGAAAAGTGGAATTTATCCTCTCCCAACCCCAAATAGTATTTTAGAGCCTGGATAGAGATTTAAGATGAACCCACTACACTGAACTAATTACAGGTGAGTGGGTAGTGGACCTTATGTATAGGTTATCATCACACTGCAAACATTTCACCAATCTATAATCTATTTGAAGTCGAAAATCTCATTTAGGGCTTTAACTTCTTATATGATGATTATCAAAACAACCTCCTGAAATGAAAGTATGTGTTCTCATTTGATCAATTTGTTTTTAAAAGTTTAGGCTTTTCCTAGGTGAGGGACAAAGCACACACCGGCCCATTGCCTCAGCCACATATAATGAGTGAAAAGGGTGTGTGAGAGAGACAGACAGAGACAGAGAATGCATTTCAGTGTCCTAGCTATCCTAGCATATCATTTATCTTGAATTAACGAAGAATTTTCAATCTGCACTACTCGAAATAAGCCCATTATTTATCATAAAGTCTGTTGAAAGTGATAGATGTGACTCACAGAGTATATTACAATTAAGAATTTATGAAAATATATCAGTTGACTAAATAAAATTTCTACATAAAACCTTTTTAACTGACCATAGTGACTGACTGCAAATGATGTGTGAACACTGATTTCCAAAATAATAGTTGTGGTCCATACCAGTAATGATAATTTTAGTTTCAAGGTTTAATAGTGACAAAGTATCACAACTTACTTCCAAAATAATTCCAAAATCCAGAGAGAGAATTTTAAAAGTCAAGAACAAACACAGAAGACCACTCCAACACAAATTAAGCTAAAAATATCTATGCAATTCCCAAAGACTCGTATTATAAATTATTTTAAATTGTAAAAAAAATAATCCTAATTTTGCATGAAAAATTGTTAGATTTCACTTTTAAATATTAGAACTCTATTAAAATGTTAAATATTTCAAAGAAATTGCATAAAAATATTTTGGTAGTCTATATGACCTCTTAAGTCTCTAAATTACAAGGAAAGCATGAAATATATGTGATTACATTATTATTTTAGTTATTTTTTAAAAATAAAAAATTAATATATTCAATTACACCCTTCAAACTAATCACTGATAGTTTGACTTGTTTAAATCAGTCATGCTAAAGTTAAATTCAGTAAGATAGAAATGTTCCAGTTTGTTAAAACAACACTGAAATATTTGATGGTTAAATAAACTGCAGAGGGGGGAAAGCTAACTCATTGAAAGCACTAAGATTTTATCAAACACACAGAATTAATCCTTATTGAATAGAACCATTCACAAATCAAAACTCACTGTTCTTCAATACTTTCAACCAGCACTAATCAATTACAAACCTTTTCTAGTGCTTCAAAAATCATATGCTTTCAATTTTATCCACTGGTGGTCCTCAAGTACTGTATTGGGGCTGAGTTAAGACATTCTGTATCACAACTGTTTTTTTCAACAAGTATTCATCTAGAGAGCTTTTTCTTCCCTCTCAAGAGCTGCTCACATGAAAACTGTGGTAATATTTTTATACTGTACTTCTTTGTTGAAGCAAAAGGTTAGGGGTTACCCAAATACCTCAACTGTATATACAAAAAAAAAAAGGGAAAAGGTAAGTATTCATATAAAAAATCCAATTGGACTGAATCATTATTTATTTTTGCATTTCCTATGATTAATGATGCACCCATGCATACTTGAAAATTGATGGCAAAACAGGGTAGCATCTCAATACCGCTCCAAAGCATACAAATACCAACCTCCCATGCTGCTCTAACCTTTGTCCAAGGATACTAATATGTGACAACTCTGAGTCAATAGAGAGGTCATACCAAAAGCTCCTCAAAAAGCATTAGGAGTGCAAATGCTATTAGCTAAGAAAAGGTTCACTGGAACAGTCAGTCTACCTATATAGTGTCTCTTTAAAAATATTATATATATGGTCAAATAGACAAATACCTTCAATATGAAAAAATCCTTCCTTTGAATAATAAAACTGTAAATGTGACAAAGCAAAACTATTTTTTCTAGTCACATACCATGTAAGGCCTTATTAAATGGGTGCTAACTTCACAATGTTACCTTAATGCACTATTTTTTTCTCCTAACAACTGAATTTCACTAAAGATAAAATTCTACAAAAAAAAAAAAAAACCACCACATGTCATTAAACTCCCATAATAAGGATAACGATAAACACCAATACTTAATATTTTCCAAAGAGTAAATACTGTAAGATAATTGTCTAAAGTGTATGAAAAACCTTCATGAAATCTGCAGTGTTTAATATTTTAAAACAAATCTTGAGAAAAGTCTCACATAATGAAAATATACACCTGAATACAAGCTATTGCTATTATAAATATTATGAAATTCATTGGACATGTATTTTGATTAATGTGCTATAATTCAAAACAATAATAAGGAAATTCTACACCTTATTCAAAGGGAACTTCCTTACAATTTCAACAACAGTTGACCACAAACTTTTGTCCATTCAAGAGCAAACACACATAAAACAGGCCTTATATCCCCACATAACTTTTTAAAGACCTGTATAGCAACTGAGATTAGGTGCTCTTTAATTACAGTGAATATAATATACTCATCTAATGTTGAATTCTTAAAAACTTCCTCCCCCGTATACTATTTATTAAGGACATAGGGTTCAAGGTTTGGAAAAGGGTTAGATGGATATAAGCAATACCATATTAACCATTTCACGTGTTTATAGTGTTATTGAATAGGATGTTAACTCTGAAATATATTTCTTCATAAATATGCTTTCTTCTACTAATAAATAAAAAGCTTATCATTTTCCTGATGTATAAAACAATTCCCAAATAAGATGAGCTGCAGAATTAAGAGTTCTTTAAAAGCTAGTTGCTACATAAGCATTTAATACTTGCAGTGAAAAAAAAATTCATTATTCATCCTATTCCCTATATTCCTATTAATACTCATAAACATAATATCTAATATACAGTCTAGTAGCAAAAATCAAACCAAGTGCGATTTTGGCTATAATAAAAAGAACATAAATG